AAAAAAAAACGGACATAGTTTTACGGTCATCCAAAATCATTGTTTCTTATTGGTCCACATAAACAAAGTACAAATAACTTAACATGGGGCAGTACTGTATGATGTCTTGGCTAATTTATAAATCTAGCTGATGTTCTCTGCTTGAAGTAAAAAGGACATTTTCAGGAGCGTGTCTTAGTTTTAAACAATTAAACGGGACCCTATAACACCTGAGCCGAGGGCAACACAGGTACTTTTAGGGCTTGTTTATAAGTTTTTATTTTTGTTAAGGTCCTGCAAAGTACTGGATTTAGATATCTCTCAGAACTATGAAACCAGCTCAACCTTTCAGGAACAGGTCTTCTGATCCCACACTGATCAACATGTTTTTGCCTTTTTATGCTTCAAGTTGCTGGAATAACCTACTGACTCATGTTAGGCATTTTCCAATATTAGCAGCATTTCAAACAAAAGTTAAAAGCACAGTTTAACCTTTTCAGTTGTTGTTCCTGGTCTTAATTTGCATTTCATGTCATTTCTATTCATTTCATTTATTATTGTTGTCAACTGTTGTTGAGAGTTTTATTAATTTTACTGGTGTTAACTAATGTTGATCCTTAGTTAATATTTAATTTTATTTCTACTTCTTTGACTGGATTAAATTTTGCTCCATCATTCTAACGGGTCTGTTGTTTACTCAAAACCTCAGTTTGTTAAATTTCAGTTTTTGGGTTCATGTGTGGGTCTTTATTCTTATTTAATGCTGCCTTCATGTTTTTGTTGATGCCATCTGTTCTTAATTATTCCTCCTAATGCGTGCCTGGTGAGTTAGTTTCAGGCTTTCTTAATGGTTTTATAGCTCCAGCCTGCTTCACTGACTCCCACAGCTGTGTCCACCACAGCTTCATCAAATATTAAGATTGAGCAGAATTATTTATTACTTCTACCATTATAATCATTCACTATTACTTATTTATAAGCCGTGGTTCTTACAATAATCACTTTGCAATTAAGTGTTGCAGACCTTTTTGTGAGTTATATATTTAGTTATTATTGAGACTCATGTTGCAAACATGAGTTATAACACTGCATTAAAAGCTGTACTGTGTATGGAGTACAGGAAGTGAAAGAAAAACACAAATACAGAAAGAAGAACATCTATAGTTTTCCTCTTGGTCTACATTATCATCTACATCTGTGTATTTAAACATAACCAAATCTGTTTAAATGAAAAACCTAAATTCCCTCTGCTATTAAAAAATCTGATCTCTATATAACTAACTATGGAACATCATTAATGTTGTAATAAAAAAACGTTTTTCTCAGCTGCTTCAGTCCTTTTCAGGGCCTCTTATTTAAAAATTAGAGTCTTCAGTAAAGTTTGTTACTTCAGATCATCAGAGCACATCAGATGTTTCAGGAAATTAAGGCAAAGTAGTAAGTAGAAATAGTTGTGTATGTTTTTATGAGCAAGCTAGACAGATAATGTTTCTATTGTCTGCATGCTATCAAATATATTAGCATTGATTTGTAGCTGTGAGCCTGTTATGCTGCACGGATCTGTGGCTGAAGTGACACGATGTCCAGTGATGCCCTGCACATACAATATAGTCACATTTTTTGTTTGCTCGGTGCAGCACTGTGCACACTTTAAAGTAAATATTGTTTTCCCTCACAATATATGCAAATGTAAGAAGTCTTTGTCTTTACAAATGGGAAACATGTGCTTTAAAAATCAGTGTCTTGAGATTATTCTGTTACATAATCCAGTAGAGCAGGCTTTCAGCCTCAGAGAAAAGTCGGACTTTAATAGACGTCATACGGGTCTCACAACCTTTTGTAAGCAATCCTTTGCTAAGTGGCTGGTACTTTCTGTTAAAATGCTACCACCTTGTGGTGAAAGTTTTCATTCACTTTTACAGACGTTTTTCAGAAAAAAAAATCTTAGATTTGTCTAAGAATAGTAACGTTTTTCATATTTACTACATTTCGAAATAAATAAAGAAATCATGCTTCTTTGCCAACACTGCTTTTTGCCAGTACCCTCGATCTTTAGATTGACTTCAGTGAAATTTAAATTGGGATTTTTAGTGGCTATTTTTAAGCTTTTAAGCTGCTACATGTTTTATTCACTATGAAAATAAAGAACTTTCGAGTCATTTGCACAGACATGTACTCGTGGTGCCCTTTCTAGTTTGCAGCTATTCTGTGTTAAACGTGTAAAATATAATTTAAAAAATATATAAAAATTAGAAACAATTTACATCATTTTAGAATTTCCTAAAGACAATTAAATGAATGGTTTTCTTAGTTCATGCACCAAATAATTATAAATCGTACACTAAATGATCCAGTATCCATGTAGATTTTTGTAGATTTTTTTTAAATCCTTGAATCTATCCATGTAAAATTTTTGTAAAAAAAAATATTTAAAAAAATGTAAACCTTGAATCTTGTATATAAAGAGCAATATTTTTAATGACAACTCGCGCAATTACCAGTGCCATGCGGTGGCCCGAACTGGACCCTATGGGGGCCCACCGCATGGCACTGGGCCGTATGTTTGACACCCCTTGTCATAAAACAATAACGACAGAAAAGTAAGTTTAATTTGAGGGAGAGTCAGACAAAAGGCAGGGAGGAGAGACACGGTAGAGCGAGATGGACAAAGACAGAGAGAGAGGAGGAGGAGGAGGAGGGACGCTGTCATCACGTACAGCCGCGGAGAGAGGGGAAGGGCGGGGGTGAGCCTCAGCCGGTGTCTGTCTGCAGCAGCGGCCATGCTGCCTGACTCGGTGCATCCCGGTCCACCGGTGTAGCCTCCCTCCTGCATCCCTGTATCCCAGGTCAGCGGACGGACCCGGAACAGCTCGGTTAGAGTGGTTCAGCCCGCCGGGAGCCCCCGGAGCAGACCGTAACCAGAGCACCGAGGAGGGGAAAGAGGAGAAACGCTCCATAGCAACAAACCGGTTCCACGGCATTATTGGTAGGTGCCTCCCTTTCAGTGTACGTGTGTGTGTTTGAATGACGCTGTCAGCCAGCTTAGCAGTGTTAGGGCGGATAGATGGATGAAGTCAATTCTGTTATCAGATAGAGAGAGAGAGAGAGAGAGAGCACGGGTTTTATAAGCATTTCATCTGCAGGGTTTTATTTCTCATTGGGCTTAAGCTAAATCTAATAACACTGGAAATCGATGCAATTCTCCCACAGTGGCTGTGCAGCCAAATTTATGTCACACATTTGAACACATTGACTGTATGATGCCTATCAGTCCTGATGTGCATGTGCAATTTATCATGGGGGGCGGGGTCTTAATGATCTTCAATAGAAGCCCATTCTGCTCGGGCCAGCTCCTTAAAGGTACTTTTTGTAAACGCACTGCAAAATGCAATAAAGACCATCACCACAAGGTGGCAGCATTTTTGCCAGAAAGTTTATGGGCAGTTGGAAATTCCACGGGTGCGTGCCTCTGACAGACCCTGCAAACATAGTGGACACAGTGCTAGAATTACCCCAGTCAACAGTGTTTGTGGCACAATGGCAAAAACTGCACTTTAGACCGACAGATGCTGATGTTTTCAGGTACTGTTGTGGACCAGTGACTCTTTCAGGACAAGGAATATTTATTTTATTATTGCATGAAGAAAACAAACACATGTATTCATTTTAAATATGGTTTTGGATTGATAGCTAATTTAAATGGTTGTGATCGAATGAAGCCCAGCAGGCTGTGAGTCTCAGATGTTGCCACAATATTCCATCCAAGACTTGATATCGAGGGGAAAAAAAGGTTTAGTCAACTTGCTCGGGCAGCTTCAGGTTCTATCTTTTTCACAGATTGACATTACGGGTGTTTCAGGGGTGGAGCGTTTAGTGTTCATGCCTTAAAAAGCTTCAGGTCTTTTGTTTTTAAAATGTCTCCTGTGTCTGACTTCCTGCCCTCCGCATCTGCTCTGTGCATCCTGACATATGTGAACCAGGAATGAGTCCAAGATGAGCCAGTGTTTTCCCAGAGTTCTGTTCTTCTATGTACTTGATCTTATATTGGTTTGTTGAAAGACGACCTCTCATTAATCTAATATTTCTATGTTTTTTGTTTAAAAACTGTACTCTCTGAGCTCTTCTAACTACCAAAGCAAGTCAGCGAAGAGAGTGACAAAACTGTGCAAATGTTAACTTGCATGATGCTTTTAGGTGTCATGTTTGACTCAGGGCAGTTTGGATGCCCACTGGATTTTTGGGGGTGGTTTGACGGGGTACTCTGTGAGATGACAGCTCAGCCCTAAAAAATTTCAGTATCAGACATGACAGGAAAAGTCATAGCTGTTTCCTCACATGGTTTTTGGTGCTTTCTAAATAATTTAAAAATGTTGTAAAATCTAACTTTCAAAGTTTTTTTTAAACACTGGTTTAATTTAATCAAAATTAAAAATTATTTTTGTTTATAAAATATTGAATAATTAAATAAAATCAAAATATGTGCAAGCAATACCGACTCTTAATTACATGGTTTTATACAAAATGACCTTTTTAAAAATGAATTCCTGCTCTATGTCTGCACAGGTATAGAGTTGGAGGCTGTTCTCGAGATGATGGTGACTTCTGTCTTGTCAGTAAAACCACGTGATTGTCATTTCTTCTTTTTTTCCCCAGTGACGGAGGGATGGTGAGGACACTAGAAGAGAAATTGTGAATGAGACATAAATCCCAAATCAAGCAGGATTAGAGGGACTTCGAGGCACTGGCCCAGATCTAAACCTGGAGTCGATTGAACGGGTTGTCTAAGGTCTGTTCATTCAAAGTACTGAGTTCAAAGCCAGATCACTGACGTTACAGCTGCGTTCCTGACACTGCAGGTAGGTGACTGTGAGGACAGACAGATAATCAAGTGGAGGTTTAGCCTTGGTGGGAAAAATCTGTAATTCAAGGATCAGACTTGCCTTCACATTCACATTGAATTTGCTAAAAATAAGGTGAAACAAAAACCTTACAGTTACAACCCCAAACTTATTGACCAGTGGACATCACGGATTAGAGCATGAACATAATACATGATTTTTAAGGATTTTTAAATTGGATAAAGGATATTTTTGAGTTCTGACTTAAGCTGGATTTACATCAAAGTGACCTGATGTAGTTTTGGGGATTTCACCTGGATTATGAAGATTTCAGTTGATTTAAATGAACCATGACTGGTCTGATTGCCACAGTGCCGGTTCTTCGTTCAGGCCAACTGAACTACAAATCATCTTAGAAGTCTTAGGACTACAGCTGGTCTATGAGAATCTATCTACTGGAAGAAAGTCTCCAAGTTATAACACATTTTTTAGGGATTACTTATCACATTATCTAAACGTGAGCAAGATCTGGACTACATAGCTTGGATAAACTTTTTCCTGCTGTTTGAAGGATGATTCTTTTCTAGCACGGATTTCGTTGAATGTTACTGGACTGTTATCCGCCATGTCTCTGAGTAAGACCCTCGAGTTGGAGCATTTTGACGAACGTGACAAGGTTCGGCGAGGACGCTCCACCCGGGCCAAGAGAGATGATTCCACCAGCAGTGCTGGTGGTGGAGGGTCTGGCCCGAGCTCCAGGGGCAGCAGCCTGGTCCCTAGTCCTGCTCACAGCGCCAACTGCAGCTACTACCGGACCCGCACCCTGCAGGCGCTCACCTCGGAGAAACGAGCCAAAAAGGTCCGGTTTTATCGCAACGGAGACCGGTACTTTAAGGGCCTGGTGTACGCTGTTTCTAGTGACCGGTTCAGATCGTACGACGCTCTGCTAATGGAGCTCACACGCTCGTTGGCGGATAACCTGCATCTGCCTCAAGGAGTGCGGGTGATCTACACTATAGATGGCAGCAAGAAGATCACCAGTATGGATGAGCTGGTGGAAGGTAAGACTGGCAGCTTGGTTTTCATTTTCTAACAACTTGTCAATCACAAACCTTTAGGCAATGAGCAAAAATGCCCAGCTGAGGTAGAAAATGTCACGCTTTAGTAGGCTATGGGTGCACACTTACTGTGGTTAGTACGAATATTTTAAGACTATTATCTGGATTGTGGTTAGGGCATTCTTTAATTTGATCCCTATTTACTCTGCCAATACTCATCAATAATGTCTTTGTCGAAAGCATCTGATCTCCTGGATCATTTGTCATCATAAAATTAGTCAAAATTGGTCTACAGCCATTTCCATTCCTAGTTGACCACCTACACATTTGTTCCCTTTGTTAGATTTTTGATGTCAGGTGCTTTATATTAGCAGTGGTCTTGCTGACTATTGAATCTTTGTTTTGTCTGCAAATGTTGCATATCCTTAAAATAAATATACAGTAGTCATTTGTCACTGAGTCATAATTTTGTGCAGACTTCAGTTGATTACTCTCACCACAGATCAATCAAGTGGCCTGTCTTGTTTAAACTTCCTCATGTTTCCTTCCTCTCGGCTCCCTCATGGCTTTTGTTATCCAAACATGCTTTGAATTATTTATTTCTGTGTACATCAACAGCAGACTGATAAGTACATAATCAATACAGTAATACTCAAGGGTATATCGGTTTTAATATTCATTGGGGAAATAACCCAGGACCTGTCTGAGGTGTACAGCTGTTTCTGTATAAAAAGTATCATGTTGTCCACTACTGAATCGACCCCTGACACTATATATCCTGTAATTTGGTGAAGTTGTCCCTGTGTAGTTTTTATGCACATGCAGATTTACAGCAGTGTTAATCCTATTGAAGATTTTAAGCTGGAGACTCCAAGTAAAGCTTGTGATTAATAAATAAGTGCATATGTGTTGGTTAAATTTTGGTGGGAGCAATTTAAGGTACTTAGGTATCTTAGGGACGTATCCCATCATCTCTACCATAGATTTTGTCCATGGTGACACTGTATGTATGTGGGATAACTGAACCCACCAGTAAACGCATAGCTCATTAAAGTTGAAGCAAAGGAAAATTGTGTTTTTTAACATTTTATTGAAAATGATACCTTCTCACCATCTAGTCACACTCCTTTCTCTTTTAAACTGATATCCAGTTAATTGAAACTGCAGGCAGTGATGATTGGGATCACACACCTTTGATAGGTCTACCTGCTTCCTGTGGATATTTTAAGCCCAGGATGGATAACTGGCTGTTGCACACATACATCCATCAATTGTTTTGCCCAACGTGTGACATTACAGAATATCCAACAATTACAGTTGTGGGGTTTTTTGTTTGTTTGTTTTTTGCTGTTGCCAACAGACCGTTCAGGGAAAGCCCACCAGCTTCGTCATTTAGCATCACCAAGATGTTTAGATTGGACTGCCCATATATTATGTGAATAATTAGCTCAAAATCTTCAATGGGATTAACATTGCAGTTTTTTGCCAATGTTTGACAAATGACTATTCTAAAGAATAATGCCTTGAAATGGCAAAACTTCAGCTTAGTGCAAATGCCGTAAAAATGGACTTCCTGTTGGGTTTCGTGCGGGCTATGTTATTGATATGCTATAATGGTGCTATAGACACAGAACAATTTTGAAACATCTTGTGTATAAAACCTTTTAACTATGTAAGTTTTCACCACTTTTCACAGAATTTTTCAAGCACTTTTTAACCCCTCAAAATTATTGTGACTTAATTACAGTAATAAAGATAATATCTAGAAGACCAAACTGAGCAGTTCCACTAATGCCTTCACATATTCAGTGCACAGTCATCTAATTGACCCATCATTATGTGTTATATCCTGTCTCCAATATCCTCTTGTAAACTTCAAGTGTACTTTATCTTATAAAGAAGCATGTATCTCATAAATGCTCATAAGTCTTCCACATCTAAAATTTATACGCATGAACAATATTCCTGGATAATTTAACAGCAACTCTGAGGTCCACTCACTCTGCTCATCCTGTTGCCCTAAAGTCATTTAGTGAGAAACAGACCAGTGGCTGAGTAACATCACTTATCATCAATATTGATGAGTGACTGGTTTAATGTCCTCTGATGACCGTTAGTGCCAGGAAGCTGTTCAGCCGGAGATCTACTAAAAGACAGATGCATCGCTCTTAAGCACTTAACAACGACAAACAGACCACAGCGGCTCAAAGCTGCGAGTGTGAAGTGGAAAAGTCATCGCTCACAACTTAACTGAGTATTCGAGCTGTAACAGAGGGGGAAACATGGATTATCTGATTAGCTGTGCTGGAAAGCAGCTAATGCACTGGGATGATTGATCTGAGTGTGTCCTGCTGAATGTCAAGATTATTGGTTTAGCATTTCAAAAGTACTGTGACAGAGATTTCAAATATCATAAACTTTCAGGTTTTTCTAGGCTTGGCAGCAGCCATAACAATCAGCTCATATACATCATGTTTTATGGTTGTAATAAAATTATTATTATTTTTAATCCAAAGCATGTTTTAGAAAACCCAACTAAACCATTTCAGTGCTTGAGGAAGTCTGGTTTGCTTCATCATTAATGAATCACTAGGAAGTGTCTTTGAACTTTTAAAATTTTTCCCTATTTTTAACAATATAATCACACAAAAATGGTTTTAAGTGTTTAAACCTTCTTGATTTTAATCTTATTTGAATCCTTTTCCATTGCTTTTAAATTATAAGATTTTGTAAAGCACGTTGTTTTATTAAATCCTAATTAAAATGAAACAAAACAAAAAAGTCTAAAAGTAATAGGGAAAAGGGGGCTCAAACCTCAGTCTCCTGGGTGAAGGTCTATTTTTTGTCTATAAAAAGCCACAAAGGTGCAATCTGTAGCTTTTTATAGACAAAAAAACCTTGAGTCAAGTGGATTTAATGGACACAATAAAAATAATAAAGACAATAGCTTCAGAAAAGTTTTTATTTTGAAACTAATGCTTAAAAAAGTGTCCCAAACTCCACAAATAAGCTGCAAATGTTTGTTAATTAATCAATGCGATAATTTCTTAACCTTAAAAGCTGAAATATTAAAAGTACCCTTCATTAAATTTCCCGTTTGTCGCGTCTTTACGTTAAACAGCTCCTGAACAGAGACTGTGCCGGTGTCTCAGCTCTAATGTCGTATCGACACACAGACGGTGCTTCTGTGTTTAGTCACTGAGGTATTTGAATAAATACCTGCAGCAATCCTGTCCATCTGGTTTGAATTGCAAAGTGAAAGCCTGCATGTGGAGAGACAAGGTCACACACACAATACCTGCAGAGAAAGAGTGTGTGTGTCAACATGTAATGGGGATGAAACAAAGGGAGGAAAATAGGGGCATTTTACTAGAGGCTTGCTGGCACAGATAAGCGTGTGTCTGATTTTAAAAGAGAGTGAAAGGTGTGCACGTTGGAAAGGTAGTGAGATAAAGACGAAGAGAGAGAGGGGAGCGTTAGGTGAGCCATTTTTAACCATATAAGGTAAAACAGGATATGTGGCTGGAGGCTGTTGTACATGTGATCAGCTGCAGTCTGCTGGAGCCTTAGTATAATTTATAACTTTATCTTATATTTAAAAACTCTTTATACAAACAGCCCAATGGATTTAACTGATGACAGATTTAAAGCTCAAATAAATTTAGGCACATGCACATTAGTCGCTAATCTAAGTAAGAGGATAATAAAGGAATTAAACTGTTTGTCATCATTGGTAGAACTTTATTGTTCATCCTTTTCTTTCTTTACATACATCAAAAACTGTGCCATAAAAGTTAAAATTGCCAAAGGGAACATCTATTTTAATAGTTTAGTTGTTTCTGATCAGCAAAATGTCAAATATTTTTTGTTTCTTGAATCTTAGGCATTTCCTTTTCATGCAGATGCTGATGAGGAAAAACATTAAAAACAAAAACAGCAGCTATGATCTATGGTGGCTCCAGCTCACAAATTTAACGATCTGCTACTAATGTCCAGGTGCCAGGCTCTACAGGACACCGTCAGAGTTGTCATGCAGTCCTGGACATGAAGGGTGTGATGTGTTTTGCAGGCACTATAAGCACAAGCAGTGAAGTGATGGTCACATCATGGATGTATATCTGTCCATTTTCTTCTGATTATCCAGTTCTGGGTTGTGGGATGGGGTGAGAAGTTCGAGGCGGGGTGCATCGGGCTGTTGCAGGGTTAACACAGAGACTCACATTCAAACGCATGGTCAATTTAAAAATGAACCGGTAGCCCAACCCCCCCCCCCCCCAACTGATAATCTGAAAATGAAACCTTGGTCTATGTGAAATGATAACGGGTTCTTTTCCCCTTTAATGTGACAATGAGATCATTGATGTGGAAGAAAATTTTTAATTGTAGTGTGTTTAAAAGTGTCTTTAAATAATAGGTCAGCCATAATTTGCCCCTAATAATATGATCATTTTCTAACCACTCCTGGCAGATTTTGGAGATCTCAACATGTTGAAGCTGTAGTTTAAAAAAAAAACACAATACAAAAAAAGAACCCCTTGAATTAAAAGGGTTTGAATGGTGGCGTTCTTAGGTTTCCACTGCTTATTTCCTGCTGGTTACTGACTGGGTTTCAGAGGCAGCAGTGTAAGCAGAGACCAGCCACCACCTTCGGCTCTTCTTGGGAGAGACACTGCAGCATTCCCAGGCCAGCTGAGATGAGAGACATAATCTCTCTGGCATGTCCTGGGTCTGCCCTGAAGCCTCCTGCCAGTAAGACTCCCAGGAAGCATCCCGGAGGCATTGTAGTGAGATGCCACCACCTCATCCAGCTCAGTCTGATGTGTAGTAATAGCAGCTCTACTCTTAGCCCCTCCCACCAGCCAAAAAAATTGCAAGAAATAGATTAAACTGTCTTTTTAATTAATTTGGGTTGCAAACTATAGCAATGTAACGTCTTTATTTTGTAGGGAACACTTTATGTAAATAAGGTTCTATTCATAGCTAGTACATCTGTTAAGGTAGTATAACTAATTCTAATATGACCACTAAGTGAAACAAGCTGTTTTTGAATAACAGCTTATGTGGAAACTAAACTGGATTATCAGTCTGACTTTACATTTTATTATCATACTCAGTCAGATTAATTGGAGCTGCGCTGCGATATGAAACACTGCATGCTCATCATTTCCATATTTCCTGCCTGGGTGCTTGAACGCTCTGACGAGTGACGAGCTGTTCAGTTTTCCAGCAGATCAGACAGAGTGAGAGGAGTGAATCTGACATCTGCTGTCACCTTCTCTTCATCCACTGTCACACACAAAGCTTGTATTACCGCGCTCTCGAATAAGCCTGTGACCCTGAACGCCCTCCTGTACATCACTCACTTATTTCACCTTTTAACTGCGTCCATGACAACAGCCAGCAGGTACAGATGACACAGCATAGCTTCCTGTATTCAAGGCTGCCTTTTAGAGCCAGTTCAGTTTGCTTAATGTTTCTATCGAAGTTGTTGCTTGAATATTGTTGCTTTGTTATGGTCACAATCTTTGTGATGATGGTCTATTAACCCTTGTATGGTGTTCGGGTCTGTGAGACCTGTGTTCAGTTTTTTTCAAAAGAAAAATTAAACAATTAATTATTTTTTCACGTGTAAATGTGTTGTGTCTTTCCACTCACTCCACTTGATTATAACTGATTTATTTATTTATAACATTTTATATAAAAGAAAAACGAGAAGCACATTAATTCATAAATGTGATCTAACAAAGGTAAAGGGAAAAAATTAACCATGTTTGCTGTTCATATGTCTTGTAATTGGGATGAAGTAAACATCTGTTGAGTAATTTAACATAAAATTGTTTGATAGTGTTGGGTCCACCAAACCCATGAACACTGGCTGAGTAACAAAAATACGAACACCACACAAGGGTTAAAGAACCGATAACTTAATTTTTACTTGAAAGGATTAGTGCTATGCACAAAACTGCCAAGAACATGCAATAAAAATCCAAGTAAGGAAAAGACAGAAGGCAGCAAAATACTTCTGAGACACACGGAAATGAACTGCAAATATAAAAAAGTGGGCACAGGATGAAGAACAGGGCTGCGTTCTGGGTGAACAAAATGTAGCAGAAGGATTTTTTAAATATAATTTAAATGTGGTGAATTCAAAGCCTAAGGACTGCAGTCATGGCAGCTGATTAATCGTGCCTGCCTTTCTCCATGCTGCTGTTGATATTGCAAAGTGTACTTCAGGGCCCATTGCCCACTGCTACACTTTGTATGTAAGTAAAGGGCATTTGTAAAGTGCTTTTAATTGGCACAAAGTCGCAAACTGATGTACAATTAAAATAAAAAATACATTAGAAAATTAAGATACAGTTAATAGCTTTATTAACCCCGGTTAAAACACACAACAAAATAGAAATAGAAGTTGCAATTAAGGTGCTAAAACAGCGTTTGTCTTTGGTGGCATTTGGTGTCCTTGAACACACATTTCATAAAAGCCTAATATTTAAGTTAACTATGTGAGATATTTAATGCTTTTTTTTTTTCAGTGTACGATATTGAGCTTTAATGGTTTTTGGTTAAATTTTAGTCAAAAGTTTCTCCTATAAAACCTTTGCAGTATTTGTTTTTAATGTAACTTTTCCTCCTCACACCCTGCCTTGCTGCTCAGGTGAGTGCTACGTTTGTGCCTCCAACGAGCCTTACCGGAAGGTCGACTACACCAAGATCTCCGTCCAGAGCTGGAAGCCCGGTGCCAGCGCTGGGGCTGGAACAGCAAGGTCAAGTGGAGCCTCCACGGCATCCACAGGAGTGTCGACGACCGTCCCCAAAGATCGCCCCGAAAGTCGAGAGGGCAGAGAGAGCAAAGACTTCATCAAACCCAAGTTGGTGACGGTGATCCGCAGCGGCGTGAAGCCTCGAAAGGCAGTGAGGATTCTCCTGAACAAGAAGACGGCGCACTCCTTCGAACAGGTGCTGGCGGACATCACCGAGGCCATCAAGCTGGACTCTGGAGCAGTAAAGAAGCTCTACACGCTGGACGGGAAACAGGTTTGATAACTTTTGGTGTTCCTGTTTTGTTCTTTGACACAAACATTGAAAAAGCTGCAACATGAAGCTACTTCATGGATTGATAAAGCAGCAAACATGGAGGCTTACACAGTATGTTCAGACTTTTAGCAGCTTCACTGGAGAACACATCTGTCCTGCATAATCATAGACATATAAAGTACTCGTACTTAGAAATCCATGAACTAAAGAGAGCCTGCTCACTTCTTTTCAGTCCCACTTACACCTAGAGGAAGCTCAGGAGGAAATCCTTAATGAGTGAAACACAAAGTAATGATTTACACCTGCCTCTAGACTGAAAAGTTCACTCCTGCATCCTGTGCCATCAATTATTAAGCTATTAAGTGCTTCTACAGTTCGATGTTAGTCTGATGGAGTCAATGCAGATGTTTCAGATTCATCTTGTGTATGTACCAAAAGTGACATATATTTATACTCATTTAGCCCACTGTATTTTTGCCTTATAAGAGCCAGTTATTCATGAAAATTAGAAGAATAAAGCTGAAGATGATTTTTTTGGGGGGACGGGAGTACAGGGAGAGAGAGTGAAGACACACATCAAAGGGATGGGATTCTGACTCAAACTCGGGCTGCTACATTTCAGACTTGCAGCATATGGTCGCCGGCTGCCTCCATGAAAACACTTTTCACCCCGTGTCTAAGGCTGAGCCCAGACACGCTGCTAGAAAGCTTATTTCCACTGGTGGTATCCACCCTGAGCTAATGGCTACATGTTAGGCTATGTAGGAGCTTAGATCGTCTGATAAACAGACAACCTCACAGAATTCACCAACTCTTGGGTCGACAACTTGTTCTTCACCCAGAGTGGGCACTCCTCTGGGCACACCCTTTTCTGCCTGAGAACCATGGCTTTAGACTTTAAGGTGCTGATTTTTATCTGCGGTTCCCACTCGCTTAAAAACTTCCCCTTTGGGAGCTGAAGGCAACAGAACTGCATCATCTGCAAAAAGCAGGAATGAGATCCTGAAACCACCAATCACAAAACTCTTATTAAAGCTAGAATCCATCAACATTTGTGCTTCCTACCACTAAAGCACTCATCATATGCTAATGCAGGCTATAGATACCGAAAGCCACTTACCATCATCTTTACTTAGAACTGCCATGAACTTGCATTAGAGTGACAACACATGGCTCATGCATTTCCCAGTTCAGGAGCAGGACATCTGTCGTCTCTAGCAGTGGAGAATTCTCCCACTGATTTCTATTCAGCATTCTTTAAGTGTCATATCTTCTCTTCTGAAGTTCTCTATTTTTTGGCAGCAATTTACGGTTTAATTAGAAAAAATGACAGCAACAAATGGGTTGAACTAGACACACTGTGGGTAATGTTCACAGCCTGACTGTGACACACAGTTAAAGTAATTTCAGCCGTTTCGCTGAGCTCTAAACTGACGCACACTCAGACAACACAGGGCCAGTGAACGAGGGCTGACTGCGGAAATCAAATTACAGCACTTCATTATAAAATTACTCCAGGAATGTGTTTCATTTTGGGATTCATCATATATAAAAGAGTTCATTTAAGGTGCAATTTTCAGTGTAAAGTGTACGGGTGGTTAGCGTAGTCTCCTTGAAGTTTAAATCTGCACCCTCTGCTCTTTATAAGTACATGTGTTTGAAGCCCTGGAACTGCAGCAGTCAGCTGAAGTTAATTTGAACAGAGTCTGAATAGGAGCTGATCCTCCTCAAAATGCTTTTGTGAGCTCATATTGGGTTAAGGATTTAAACGCATCACACGGCAGGGTTATTTTTACCCCACACATGCACGCGCTCTGTCTTTGAAGTTACAGATAACTGTGACGCTGACAACAGAGAGCTGAAGAAAAGCAAAGACAGCATGTCGAGGCGCCGGTGTGACTGAAAGAAGCTTGTTGTAGTGAATGCAGCTCAGACTTGTACACACACACTTACACATAAGTCTACTGAGTTCACCCTCAGAAACACACACACAGGCACAAAACTGTCTCCGTTTGTTAAGATGTAGCTGCACCATTGCCTTGGGAAAAATAAAAACACATTCTGCAGACGCTTCCTTCAAAATAAAAGTATCCATTGCATCTGCCTCCTTAACAGTCTCATTGTTTTTACTTTAAACGCATTCCCCCGGGCAAAGTTTATATATGAACATTGACCCTTTTCAAAAGTTCATAAGAAGAACTAAAAAAAATTAATCTGATATCACACTTGAAAAGTTATAGTACGAAAAGATTATAAAGGACTTAAAGAGAAAATTAACCTATCCACAAACAGGATTCACCAATCAGCATTACCAATTTGATGAAACCCTAAAAAAACTTGGAATGAGTATTTTGTTTATCATTTATATTTGTTTTGGTGCCCTGGCACAAAACAGGAATACGTACTCGGACTTCTCTCTCCCCACCTACCTCCTCCAACTCTTCACCAACATAGCACGTTGGTTGGTACTGTCGAGTTCACATGTTCACCTCATATTCACATGGGCTCTCTCATAGCTTCCTCCAACAGTCCAATGGCAGACAGTTAGTGGTGTTAGGTTAATTTGTGATTTTAAATTGCTCATAGATGTGAGTGTAAATGGTCGTCTGTCTGTAAGAGGATAAAATAATGAGGATGATTTTTGTCAGTAATAGAAAATAGAAAATATATAAGGTAGTGGAAATGCCCAACCCTGACTTGTAGCAGCAGGAACTTTTTATTTACACAATTCTTCAACCTCTTGAGTAACATGCTGGTGTTTTCTGCTGTATTTATACTGTATTTTATATCTGAAAATAAATGCAGCTGACTTCAACATCAACAGACAGACAGAAACAAAACAAAACAAATAATAGTTTTGT